CTCATTATTGTGTTATTGTCATTATTGCTAAATAGGCCTTTGGTAATTACACGTTAAACCTTATGAGGCGGGTTTGGGTCGTGACAGTTAGAAATAATTTTTAAAATTAAATATATTTGTTCATATTTATTTTTATTAAATTAGTTTCTATTTTTTTTTAAATGAAATTTTTTTTGTAAACAACAAATCAAACATTGTTCAAAAAACTTAGGTAACGTTTGGTTTAGAACTCAAATCATAATTTGAATAAAAAAATTCAAAACTTATAACCAAATTATTTTCCAAACTCTTTACAGAACTCTATTTTTTTAAAAAAAAAAAGAATCAATTTTTTTTCTTTAATTTTTTTTATTTTTTTTTTTTTTTTTTTTTTTTTGAAATTTTTTTTTTCTCTTTTTTTTTTTTTTGTTTTTAAAAAAGTATTTTTGGTAGTTAGTGAATTTTTTAAAGATTTTTTTTACAAAAATTATACTTTGTAAGTATATTTATGTTAGGTGTGTCTAAAAATTTAAAAAAATTGCTCAAGATATTAAAAAAATTCAGTAAAAATAAAAAAATATGAAAAATAAAAAAATAGAATTTTCTGAAAAGTGCTTTTAGAAAACTCAAATCAAGAAAAATGATTAGGTTTTGTTTGAGAAGTTAAAGTTTTAGATAAAAAATGAAGGGCAAAAAAAATTAATTACAAAAAGAGATGGAAAATACTATAAATATTAATAATTATAATTATAATATTTTTTATTTGTTTATAATTAATTTACACTGACACCAAAAATGAAAAATCACTACTCCACAAAAAAATCTCTCCTTCTTTGTTTGCGCATTTTTTATAAATTTTTTTTACAAAAACTAAAAATAGCAATTTCCAAATCAACATTAATTAACATTTTTTGTTCTTCATATATCTCTATCTCACTTTATCATATGCTTTCTTTCTAGAGCCTTTGACACAGCACTCAAACAATAAAAGTGTAATAGACAGCTAATATAGAGAAAACATTATTATTATTATTAGCTTCGTCAACCCAACACGTTAATAGAATAAAACCCAGACCAAACCCTTTTTTTCTCTGTTCAAAAAGAAAAAAAAAGTTTTTTTTTTCTCTCTCTTATTTTGTAATTTACCAAAATACCCTTCCTTTTCTCTTCTCAGCTCAGCACCACCGTAACTCCGATGGGCCCCCACCACCATACCAAAAAAACCCAACTTGATCATCAAATTCACAGAAACAAATCCATCTAACCGATCTCTCTGTCCCTTTTGAATTACGCGTTAAAAATTTTCAACCTAACATCCAATGCTAGTTTGTGAGATTTAAAAAAGAAAATAAAAAATTAAAATTAAAATTTAAAAAAAAAAAAAAAAAAGCCTAATGGAAAAATCACGAGTTCCTCAACCAAATTTCAGAACCATTTGTCTTAACTATTAAGTTCAATGAATAGTGCCTACAAAATCTATCTTTCTTTTTTTTTCTAAATTCTGAGAGCATTCTTTCTTCCCAATTGGTAGAAAATTCCATAATTTGCCCCGTAAAAAGTGCCTACCCTGAAGGATTCTACAAAAAGCTCTGCCCCTCAAGCAGCAGAAAATATTTAGGTCTCGTTTGGGATGCTACCTTTTTAGCCAATTAGCCAAAAAGTTACTAAATTAGCCAATTAGCCAATTAGTCATACCAAAAAGTCAACAATTACGGCTTCTCTCTACTTTTTGCACAGCTTTTCGTGATTAGTCAAAAAGTCATCCCAAACATACAAGTTTTTTTTACCTACCTTTTTAGTCAATTAGCCAAAAAGTTACTAAATTAGCCAATTAGTCATACGAAAAAGTCAACAATTACGGCTTCTCTCTACTTTTTGCACAGCTTTTCGTGATTAGTCAAAAAGTCATCCCAAACATACAAGTTTTTTTTACCTACCTTTTTAGTCAATTAGCCAAAAAGTTACTAAATTAGCCAATTAGTCATACGAAAAAGTCAACAATTACGGCTTCTCTCTACTTTTTGCACAGCTTTTCGTAATTAGTCAAAAAGTCATCCCAAACATACAAGTTTTTTTTACCTACCTTTTTAGTCAATTAGCCAAAAAGTTACTAAATTAGCCAATTAGTCATACGAAAAAGTCAACAATTACGGCTTCTCTCTACTTTTTGCACAGCTTTTCGTAATTAGTCAAAAAGTCATCCCAAACATACAAGTTTTTTTTACCTACCTTTTTAGTCAATTAGCCAAAAAGTTACTAAATTAGCCAATTAGTCATACGAAAAAGTCAACAATTACGGCTTCTCTCTACTTTTTGCACAGCTTTTCGTAATTAGTCAAAAAGTCATCCCAAACATACAAGTTTTTTTTACCTACCTTTTTAGTCAATTAGCCAAAAAGTTACTAAATTAGCCAATTAGTCATACGAAAAAGTCAACAATTACGGCTTCTCTCTACTTTTTGCACAGCTTTTCGTAATTAGTCAAAAAGTCATCCCAAACATACAAGTTTTTTTTACCTACCTTTTTAGTCAATTAGCCAAAAAGTTACTAAATTAGCCAATTAGTCATACGAAAAAGTCAACAATTACGGCTTCTCTCTACTTTTTGCACAGCTTTTCGTAATTAGTCAAAAAGTCATCCCAAACATACAAGTTTTTTTTACCTACCTTTTTAGTCAATTAGCCAAAAAGTTACTAAATTAGCCAATTAGTCATACGAAAAAGTCAACAATTACGGCTTCTCTCTACTTTTTGCACAGCTTTTCGTAATTAGTCAAAAAGTCATCCCAAACATACAAGTTTTTTTTACCTACCTTTTTAGTCAATTAGCCAAAAAGTTACTAAATTAGCCAATTAGCCAATTAGTCATACCAAAAAGTCAACAATTACGGCTTCTCTCTACTTTTTGCACAGCTTTTCGTAATTAGTCAAAAAGTCATCCCAAACATACAAGTTTTTTTTACCTACCTTTTTAACCAATTAGCCAAAAAGTTATTAAATTAGCCTGTTCCCAAACGAGGCCTAGTCTTCCCAAACACATTAGCTATTTTGATGAATACAAGTGATGTTATATAAATAAATTTTTTGAATAAATTAAATTGATTATCTTATAAATTTGAAAAAATGTAATAAGTCTAATAAATTTGTTACAATTATATTAATATTTCTTTTATAAAAGTCAACACAAACAAAATTAATACAAATGGTGCATAAGTAAAAGAATAATCAACCAATTGCTCATAAAAAAGAGTAAAATATTGAATAAATTAAAATCATAAAGATACACAATATAATGATGTCAAATTTATAGAATTTGATGTATTTTCTCAAATCTAAAGGGAGGTATGTATAATTTATTCGGTGACTTTTTAATTTTTTTTTATACCGGATGATTTGTTGTTTTCATTTATTATTATTATTATTTATAATTAAAAAAATGTGATTATCACTTTGGTTGATTTTTGTATGATAATTTTGTGTGTGGGTCATTTTTTGGGCATGTAAATAATATGACATACAGAAACAAAGGTATGAGCAATCACATAGAGCATTTTTCTCTTACCAGGTTCTTCAATTACTCACGAGAAATTGAAATTATTGTCAGGCCATCCCACAGGAACTGTGTGCACGTGATAGTTTGCGTCTTTGCTACTTTGCTTTTTTATTTTTTTGAGTAGTCTGTAAATAGTGAAAATTATTGAAAAAAAAAAAAAAATAGTGAAAATGAAAATTTGAAGGAATTAAGTGGGCAGATTTGCCAAATTTGTGGAGATGAGATTGAAATTACAGTGGATGGAGAGCCATTTGTTGCCTGCAATGAATGTGCATTCCCTGTTTGCAGACCTTGCTATGAGTACGAAAGAAGAGAGGGAAATCAAGCTTGCCCTCAATGCAAAACCAGATACAAACGCATCAAAGGTAATATTTTTATGTTCTTGCCAATTCTCAAGCCATTTAAAATCAAGACTCAAATTTTTACTCAAATCTGACAAAAAGTTTTGAGGAAAAACTTCATTTGATATGAAGCGCTCCGATGGCAAACTGCAATTTTTGTTTAGATTCTTTTTGAATATTCTTATCATATCCCAAGAATGGAAATTCAGTAACGAAGTATCAAGTTAAGGAAATATAAACTTTGGAAATTTGAGTTAGAAAACTCAAATCAAGAAAAATGATTAGGTTTTGTTTGAGAAGTTAAAGTTTTAGATAAAAAATGAAGGGCAAAAAAAAATAATTACAAAGAGATGGAAAATATTATAAATATTAATAATTATAATTATAATATTTTTTATTTGGTTATAATTAATTTACAGTGACACCAAAAATGAAAAATCACTACTCCACAAAAAATCTCTCCTTCTTTGTTTTTTTACACATTTTTTATAATTTTTTTTATTATAAAAACTAAAAATAGCAATTTCCAAATCAACATTAATTAACATTTTTTGTTCTTCATATATCTCTATCTCACTTTCTTATATATGCTTTCTTTCTAGAGCCTTCGACACAGCACTCGAACAATAAAAGTGTAATAGACAGCTAATATAGAGTGAGAAAACATATTATTATTAGCTACGTCAACCCAACACGTTAATAGAATAAAACCCAGACCAAACCCTTTTTTCTCTGTTCAAAAAGAAAAAAAACAAAAAGTTTTTTTTTCTCTCTTATTTTTGTAATTTACCAAAATACCCTTCCTTCTCTCCTCTTAGCTCAGCACCACCGTAACTCCGATGGGCCCCCACCGCTATACCAAAAAAACCCAACTTGATCATCAAATTCACAGAAACAAATCCATCTAACCGATCTCTCTGTCCCTTTTGAATTACGCGTTAAAAATTTTCAACACCCTCTCATTAAACCCAGTTGTCTCTCACTCTTTGTTTATTTTTTGGATCAGAAGTTGTCTCTCACTCTCTCTCCTCTGTCTAAAGTCTTTTTTTTACTTCAACTCTTGTGGCTTCTTTCTTTAACCCATCAAGCCACACCAACACAGTTTGACAGAGAGCCTCTTCTCTTCAAACTTGGGTTTTCTATCTCAAGTTTTCTATATCAAGAAAGGAATAAAATTTTTACCCACAAAAGGGACTATTTTGATTTACACACATTTTTCTTATATTCTAGTATTCGTTACACACGTATAGAGATACGTATTTTGTGCTGTTCGTATGTCACTTTCGGTCATTCTTTAATGTGGGTTTGGTGCTTCTTGTGATGGGTGTTTAAGAGAGTTGGCTAAACAAGAGAAAAAAAGCTGTCTCTCTCTCTCTCGTTGAAGGGTTTGGGTGTCTATGTGTGTGTGTTGAGTGTGTGTTTTGGAGAGGTCTAATGGATACCAAAGGACGACTCGTTGCTGGTTCACACAACAGGAATGAGTTCGTCGTCATCAATGCTGATGAGATTGGACGAGTAAGTGTCCCGCTAAATCTCTTTCTTTTTCTGCTAATCTACATTAGCTCTTATCTCCTTTTCAATTCCATTTTTGGGTTTTGGAGAGCTTGAAGATGTAAATCTTCTAAAAATCTGATCTTTTTTTTGCTTTTCTCACTGCCTCTGGTTTTGTTTTTTGACTCCATTTTCAGATTTGGAGTAGACTCAGTTTGAGTTTATACGATTTGGGTTCTATTTTTCACTGAATTAATTTTAGTATTTTTTCTGAAAACGAAAACAGAGTGAATCTATTTTTTTTGCTTATTGGTCAGTGATAAATCCGACGTCATTGTTAGAGTTTAGGCTATTAGGCGTAGATTTCTGTTGTTTTTGTTGGATTTTTCTAATTTTTCGCTTGAATCTTCAGTTTTTCAGCTCTATAGAACAAACCCATTTTCAGATTTAGGACCTAGTCAAAAAGACTCCCATTGCTTGCAAATTGTCAACTTTGTTTCTGTTTTCTTGTTCTTGTTTAGAGATTTGAACATCTGAGCCTATGCTGCTTCAGCACTCAGTTGGGTTTGTTGATCTGATGCAGATTTACATTGTTAATTGTTCTTTGCATGACAGGTAACATCTGTGAAGGAATTAAGTGGGCAGATTTGTCAGATTTGTGGAGATGAGATCGAAGTTACAGTGGATGGAGAGCCATTTGTTGCCTGCAATGAATGTGCATTCCCTGTTTGCAGACCTTGCTATGAGTACGAAAGAAGAGAGGGAAATCAAGCTTGCCCTCAATGCAAAACCAGATACAAACGCATCAAAGGTAATATTTTTATGTTCTTGCCAATTCTCAAGCCATTTAAAATCAAGACTCAAATTTTTACTCAAATCTGACAAAAAGTTTTGAGGAAAAACTTCATTTGATATGAAGCGCTCCGATGGCAAACTGCAATTTTTGTTTAGATTCTTTTTGAATATTCTTATCATATCCCAAGAATGGAAATTCAGTAACGAAGTATCAAGTTAAGGAAATATAAACTTTGGAAATTTGAGTTAAGATTTGAGTCTTCATTTGGGTAAAAATTAGTAAAAGGCGTTTGGTATGCCAAATTGAAGTTTTGAGTCAACATATGGGTAGTAATGGAGATGCCTGTGGTTGACTTTAGTTAATTTCAGGAAACTACTACCGATTATGGTAACGGATTATTTGACATTCCACCTATTATTACAGGGAGTCCCCGAGTTGAAGGCGACGAAGAAGAAGAAGAATTTGATGATTTGGATCACGAATTCGATTTCGGGATCAATGACCAGAGAGACCCTCATCAAATTGCAGTGGCGGTGCTCTCTGCTCGCCTTAATACTGGCCGTGGTCCCCAATCCAATGCTTCAGGAGTCGCTACTCCAATGGAGATGGAGTCCTCTGCACTTAGTCCTGAAATCCCTCTCCTGACCTATGGTGAAGAGGTGAATTGTTTTGACATTCTCTTAATTCCATTCTTTCTTTGTTTGTTTGTGGTATTTGTATGTTCTAAAATGTAATGGTATAATTTTCTTGACTAGGATACTGGGATTTCTGCTGATAAGCATGCTCTCATCATTCCTCCGTTTATGGGTCGTGGAAAGCGAGTCCATCCCGTGCCATTTCCTGATTCCTCCATGTCTTGTAAGTTTACTGATTCAATGGAATAAATTTTTTTTTTGCAATTTTATGATTTCTGTGGCTGAGTGTAGTTGTCGGTGTTGATCTTACAGTTCCACCCCGGCCAATGGATCCTAAGAAAGACTTAGCAGTGTATGGTTATGGCACTGTTGCATGGAAAGACAGAATGGAGGAGTGGAAAAAAAGGCAGAATGATAAACTTCAAGTGATTAAGCATGAAGGAGGTGGTGGTGGTAACAATGGCGGGGATGAGCTTGATGATCCTGATTTGCCCAAGTAGGTCCACTTAATTTTATTTTACTTTATTTAATTCAATATATTATACTTATGGTAAATGGTAATTGACCCTTTTTTTTTTTTTGTTATTTGAAGTTGGTAGATATTACTTAGTTATCAGGATAGGGGCATTGGTCATTTAATTAGTAGTTTAGGTCATTTAATTAGTAGTTTAGGAAGTCGTTTTTGTTCTTTTCTTGATTAGTTATGTTGGATAGTGTCTGACCTAGCTATTGAAGTTTTGGAAATTAGTTTGGTCTTTTGATTGCTAATAATTATCTTTCTCTAATTAATCTTTAGCTAGGTGTTGGAAGGCAGCTGTCTTCAAGAGCAATTGGTCTTTGAGACAGAAGTGAAATATGAAATTACTATGTATTTTTATATCTAGGTGTTGGAAGGCAGCTGTCATCAAGAGCAATTGGTCTTTGTGACAGAAGTGAAATATGGAATTACTATATATTTTTGTATCTTGAATATGGTGTAAATCACTAGCTTAAATATTCAGAAAATGTGGAGTTTTTAGTAAGCTAAATTTGAAGAATAGGAATAATTAATTGACAGTCATTTATGGTGCAAGTGCATGCCCAACGTTGGTGGTACTCCGTTAATTTCTACTGTTTCATCGATGTGATGCATGTTTGGACTAAAATAACGAATATTCGGAATAAACGACAAAAAATTAAACTAAAGTAGCTCATCTCAATCGTCATCATTATTAACATAACGAGATTAGTTCTCTTTTTATGTAAAACAAAAATGACTTGATTTTAAGCAAATGTCCAACCTTATGAAGCATGGTATTTCGAAAAACATGTCGTACCGGTGTATAATATTTCGTATGGTACTTCTGCATATGTGCTGGATACACGAAACATGTACTTAAAATTTTTCTTCTTAATTTTTGGTATAGCCAGACGTACTTAATATATATCTCAAGCCGTACTGTACCGTACCGTATTACAGTTGAAATAATATTTTGTTCTACTACAAAGATTTATTTCATTAAATTTCTTTTTTATTTTTTGTCTTATGCTATTATGATTTTAAAATTAAATTATGGTTTGTAAGTTATTTAATATATTGACATTTAATTTTGATTTATATTTTTACTTTTGACATTAAATTTAATTGTAGGTTGGACCTTAACAAATTAAATCATTAATTATTTTTTGCATTATTCTAAATTAAAAATAAATATTTTTTTACAAGTGTACCAAGCGTATCCATATCCTATTTTTTTTTTTTTTTAATTTTACTATATCAACGTACTCATATCATACCAGCATCAGTGCTCGTACCCGTATCCCCTTCATCTCCAACCACTACTGGTAGTAAGTATATTCTTTATATGGATTATTTTCCTGGGTTGTTATTTCTAACTGGATCTTTGACATGCTCTTGCAAGCTGAAATGTGAACTAAAAAAACAAACCAAACCAAGCGAAGCCTTGTGTCCCACTAGTGGGATTGGCTACATGAATATTTTTTTTTGCCATTCTCTATCCGTCAAGAAGCTCCTTCACTTGTTTTGTTTTCTTATCTATAGTTATACTTGTGGTAAATCGTAGGTGTGCGCGTGAACAATTCAAAATTACATTCATGGAACCAAGTGCTACAACTCTACTAATATTGCTTGAGTTTTAGTTCTTGTCATAAGGATGTTAACCTATGGTTTGAGGGTTGGTAACATGCAAGACTGACATGAATTCTAGGGTTCTATGTATGCTTTATGTTTGAGCATCTTTTTTTTTTTTTTTTTTTTTTGAGAGTATGTGGATTTAGTGGGTTAGGTTTAGTGGAGTAGGTGAGGTGGTAGTGGTGTAGTGGGTTAGGTTTAGTGGAGTAGGTTTAAGTGGGTGAAGTAGGTGGAGAGTAGGTGGATTTTAACAGTAGTTGTATTTATATTAGATTTCACACATTGTTCTTCAAAATATAGGGGAATATAAAAGTGTGGATACATGACAAGAACCGAATGCAATTAATGATAATTAAGAAAACAGATGGACTATGTTTCCATTATTTATAAACTGCTTCTCTGTTTTGATTTCAGAAATTTTTACTTATTATTGTTTCTTTTTTTCATCAGGATGGATGAAGGCAGGCAACCACTTTGGAGGAAGTTACCGATATCTTCAAGCAAGATAAATCCATACAGAATGATCATTTTACTCCGACTTGCAATTCTTGGATTATTTTTTGACTATAGAATTCGCCACCCTGTCCATGATGCATATGGATTGTGGCTTACCTCGATTATTTGCGAAATATGGTTCGCAGTGTCCTGGATATTTGATCAGTTCCCAAAATGGTTCCCAATCGAGCGAGAAACATACCTAGATAGATTATCGCTGAGGTATATCGTCATCTCTCTCTCTCTCTCTCTCTCTCCCCTTCCTGAGCTCGTGCTTATTTATTTATTTTTAATCTCAGGTATGAGAAAGAGGGGAAGCCATCGGAGTTAGCTCCTATAGACGTGTTTGTTAGTACTGTTGATCCATTGAAAGAACCTCCACTTATCACTGCAAACACAGTTCTGTCCATCCTTGCTGTGGATTATCCGGTTGACAAGGTTGCTTGCTATGTATCAGATGATGGTGCTGCCATGCTCACTTTTGAAGCGCTCTCTGAGACATCTGAATTTGCAAGGAAGTGGGTGCCATTCGTCAAGAAGTTCAATATTGAGCCTCGTGCCCCGGAGTGGTATTTTGCTCAAAAGGTTGACTATCTTAGAGACAAAGTGCATCCTACATTTGTGAGGGAACGGCGTGCAATTAAGGTTTGCAATTTGTCTTATTTATGTGACTTTTTCCATTCAAGTTTTAAAAAAAAGGAGTTAATTACACCAAGATCCCATCAACTATTAGTGAATATCAACTTACCCCACTCATCTATGTACACGTGACTATAAAAATGTCACTTTCACCCCCTCTAGACGACCTTCAGAAGGGGTATTTGTACGGTTTTTATAGTTGCGGGGGTGTTGGTGTAGTTAACCCATGGCATGTGAACTGCGTGAAAATACAGTAGGATACAAAAGCATACCAAAGACAACTTTAGGATTCATGTTTTGGCATTCAATAAAATATATGACCTGTACTAATAGCCATCATCTTGAATTAATTATGAATCTTGATGATAAATACCAAGAATAACTGGAATTTCGGATTTAATTTTTTCAAATGTATTGATTGTTAGTGTCTTCTTTGTTGGTACAGAGGGAATACGAAGAATTTAAAGTTCGGATAAATGGGTTGGTTTCCATGGCACAGAAGGTTCCCGAGGAGGGTTGGACAATGCAGGATGGGACTCCATGGCCAGGGAACAATGTCAGAGATCATCCTGGAATGATCCAGGTGTGGATGTGTTCTTGTATTCTTTTCCTTTTGCATGCCTATAGGTTTTTTGGTCCATGGGACGTTAAATGGTAAAGGTTTTGAGTAATTTTTAATTTTGTTTTTTTTGATTTAGGTGTTCCTGGGTCAAAATGGTGTCCGTGATGTTGAAGGAAATGAGTTGCCTCAACTCATTTATGTTTCTCGTGAGAAGAGGCCAGGATTTGATCACCACAAAAAAGCCGGTGCAATGAATTCCCTGGTAAATCTCCGCCCCACTCGCTCTAACCTTGGAATTAACTCAATTCTCTGACTTTTTTTTAATTGTTTTTCCTAATTCTAGATGCGAGTCTCGGCAGTCATCTCAAATGCTCCTTACCTACTGAACGTCGATTGTGATCACTATATAAACAACAGTAAGGCACTCCGTGAAGCTATGTGTTTCATGATGGATCCCACCTCTGGAAAGAAAATATGCTACGTGCAGTTTCCTCAAAGGTTTGATGGGATTGATCGTCACGATAGATACTCGAATCGCAATGTTGTGTTCTTTGATGTATGTATAGCACCTTCTTGATAGTGTTCATGTTATACATGCTTGTTATACTACTTAGATGAGCTAATTAATACCTTTTATGAATTGAAAACAGATCAATATGAAAGGACTGGATGGGATCCAGGGACCAATTTATGTCGGAACGGGTTGTGTCTTCAGGAGGCAAGCACTCTACGGCTATGATGCCCCGATCAAGAAGAAACCCCCGGGGAAGACGTGCAATTGTTTGCCTAAATGGTGTTGCTGCTGTTGTGGATCTAAAAAGAAAAGTAAGAAAGGGAAATCAAAGGAGAGTAAGAAGAAGACAAAGAGCAGGGAGGCATTGACACAAATACATGCACTTGAAAATATTGAGGAAGGAATTGAAGGTAACCAATGGGGTTTAAAGGCACTACCTTTGATACATTTTCAAATTATATATAGATTCCGAGTAGTGGGCACTTGCTCAATATAGAAGTCTATATCAAACCAACACAATCTGTTGTTGCTAACTATTTCTTCATTGCAGGAATAGAAAATGAGAAATCATCCCTCATTCCCCAAATAAAATTTGAGAAAAAGTTTGGACAGTCACCGGTTTTCATTGCTTCAACGCTGTTAGACGACGGTGGAGTTCCAACAGGAGCAACTTCTGCGTCACTCTTGAAAGAAGCCATTCATGTCATTAGCTGTGGTTACGAGGATAAAACCGAGTGGGGAAAAGAGGTATGCGACAACTGCTTCAAAATTCTAGAGATTTTGAACAATTTTTTGTTTTTCAATTTATTTATTGCTTGATTTCTATGTTGTACCAGGTTGGGTGGATTTATGGCTCAGTTACTGAGGATATTTTGACTGGCTTCAAGATGCATTGCCATGGTTGGCGATCAGTGTACTGCATGCCCAAAAGGCCTGCATTCAAGGGGTCAGCTCCCATTAATCTCTCAGATCGTCTGCACCAGGTTCTTCGATGGGCCTTGGGATCCGTTGAGATTCTCTTGAGCAGACACTGTCCAATCTGGTATGGTTATGGGTGTGGTTTAAAACCATTGGAGCGGTTTTCATATATAAACTCAGTTGTTTATCCATTGACGTCTATACCCTTGATCGCCTATTGTACGTTACCAGCAGTCTGTCTCCTTACTGGGAAGTTCATTGTCCCCGAGGTAAACCCCACAGCTTCTAATTTAAATCTTTAATATCTTTTTTGTACATGATTATTGGAAAAGGAGCGAAATATCCATTTTGAGCACCGTAATTGGGTGGTTAAACTAGTAATTCTAGCATGTAGAACATGGTTTTTTAATTGTATTGCAAATTTTGCTGTGATTGCAGCCACATCTGTGATGACAATAGCTATTGTCTGTAAATGACGTAACTAGTAAATTTTGATGTTTTCTTGCAATTCCAGAGCATTAACGATGTGGGTATTTTGGCAACGCAAGAAATTCATCCGAATTATCCCATAAAATGTCTTTGTTCTCTGGTGTTTGAATTTTTTTTCTTCTTCATATTGACAAATAATGCAGAGATGATATTAAATTCAAATTTCGGAATATGATCCAAAAAAATTGAAAAACACTTTGCCATAATATGGGTACAATACAGATTAGCATCAAAACTGATTGTACATTGTTTTACAAGGCTTTCATTTAACAATCTTTTGGTATTATCTACAGATTAGCAACTATGCCAGTATTGTGTTCATGGCAATGTTCATATCCATTGCTGCGACTAGCATCCTGGAAATGCAATGGGGCGGTGTTACCATTGATGACTGGTGGAGAAATGAACAGTTCTGGGTGATTGGTGGTGCCTCATCACACCTTTTTGCACTCTTCCAAGGTCTTCTCAAGGTTTTGGCCGGTGTCAACACAAACTTCACCGTCACATCCAAAGGTGGAGATGATGGGGCATTTTCCGAGCTCTACCTTTTCAAATGGACGTCGTTGTTGCTCCCTCCGATGACTTTGTTGATTGTGAACATAATTGGTGTCATAGTAGGAGTTTCCGATGCAATCAACAACGGTTATGAGTCGTGGGGACCTCTATTTGGCAAGTTATTCTTCGCTCTTTGGGTCATCGTCCATCTTTACCCATTCTTGAAAGGTCTAATGGGGAAGCAAGACGGTGTTCCTACCATTCTCATTGTGTGGTCGATTCTTCTGGCTTCAATCTTCTCACTTTTGTGGGTCCGGATCAATCCATTTTTATCAAGAGGCGGTATCGTGTTGGAAGTTTGTGGGTTGAATTGTAACTAAAGATGCGCAAAAATACAAGTTTAGAATGGTTTGAATTGTTATGTAATGTGGAAAGGTCATTTCGTGGATTACAGAAGATGGGTTTGGCTCAAGGCGAAGACGTATCGTGTGAAACATCACTTTGACACGGTATGATTATTGATGAGAATCATCAGTAGTATAGATGAGTCAAAAAGGAATTTCGTTGCCAGTTGTGTAGATAAAAAAAAAAGGATTGGGACTTGATACATTCATATTTGTTCTGCAAATTTATCATTGATTCTTTTGGTACATTTCGGTTTTGTGGGTTGGAATGGAAGGGATGGAATGGAATTCGGAGGATCTCTCTGTAATCCCAGGAAGAACATAAAAGTAGTTTTCATCGTAACTTATAATCCCTTCTCAATAAGGGACTTAATGTAAGGATTTGTGTGCAAATTTTTATAGTTCTTATTTTCTGAACTGTGATTAATATTTTCCCCTCAAAACAGTGATTGATTGTGGTACTCAAATTTCTTGCTGTCTGTGTAGTGTTTAATAAGATGCCAGCTTTTTGTTCATTTCAGCAGCTTTCATGAAGTTAGGGCCTCTTTGATGTTTTTGGAAACAAAAACAATGCTAAGTTTGAACACATTTGTGCTTTTCAATTTCGTGTGAACCATTTTTGAATATTCAAAGAACATTTTGATATTTTCTTGAAAGTAGGTTGTGTATAGCATGGACAAGCTCATTCTCTCTGAAAAGCACAGAAAGCAAAAAAAACAATCTTTCAACTCGCATTTCACATACAAAACAAATGTTAACATTCTAAGGTTATGTTTGATAGAGTTCTCTAAATATGATTTAAAAGTAAGAATTGTATTTTGAGTTCGTGAGTTTTAAAATTATGATTTAAGCATGAAAAATTTGTTTGGTAAAGGTTTTGAAAAGAATTTTAAATTGAGTAAGATTTTTGATATGACATAATATTTAATACAAAAATTTACAATTCATAACCAAATATATAATTTAAAATTTTATTAAAGCATATAAAAAATTTTAAAAAATTTGGAAAATATTTTTTTTGAATATATAAAAATTAACATGTGTCAAAAAAAAAAAAAAAAAACTGTACTGTTCTGGTCAAACGGCCGAATGACCAATGAGACAGTTTGGGTAAGACATCCAATTAGGCCAAATTTCAATTTTTTTTTTTGAAAATCATGTCCCACACAATTTTTTACAAAATTTTCTAAATATTATAAAAACGTAATTTGAAAATCCTATCCAAACATTATATTAAAATGTGTGAATAGAAATATAGTTTGGAAATCGATACAAACAAAGCCCAAAACTTTCATTCTAGATGTGGGAATTTAAAATAATGCACAAACAATCAAGCTCTATATAGCAGTGAAATTGTCAATACATAAATTAAATCATCAAAACACCACAATCACTTCGTTACAACTAATGAGTAGTCTGAAATCACAATAAATTATCAAAACAACCAAATTGAAAGAACTTTTGCATGAGATATGCTTACACAGTTACTACAGTGGTACTTTCCTGTGAGTTTCACTCGTTGATTCTTCAAAACAACTGATTAACGAGCAGAACCCAGTTCTCTACTTGTTTCGAAGATCCTCCAGGGCACGTCTCTTTGCCGTTGATCTCACTGATATACTGCCTACATGATCTCCCTTGATGGCAGTTTCATTCTCCTTCATGTCAATTGCTGTTATTCGCTTCTTGGGTGTTTCTTGAATCAATTTATTTCTGTCATTCTTCATTTTCATCATTGTGGAATTCAAATGCTTAACAGCAAAATCGCCTTCCTCTGCTTTTGCAAGTGGATTTTTCACTACAACAATTTCCGAGTTTGGTTGCCACAACTGGGCATCTTCAGCAGAAGTTTCTGTGAAATGAAATAACAAGATCAACCATTCAATCATTGATAGATGTCGATATATTCAACAAATAAAGAAAAATCTATGAAGTAGTTCTAAATGAAGCTCTCTATATATACCTACCTCCATCGACAGCTGAAACAGTCGATTTGAATGATTGACCTATTGTTGAATTTGATTTTGTAACAGCTTCACACAGCTCTGTTTCTTCTCCAACCGTTTCTTTGCATTTATGCCCCTCAACCAATGACTTGGCTTCTTCCACTACTGTGTTGTCAATATTTTCTTCTCTTGGACACTTGAATTCACCTCCTACTGTCAGATCAACTGTGGCAGCATATTCACTGCCTTTCTTATTGTAAACGTCTGTCAAAATCACACCATGCATAGAATCACTAGATTTTTCAACCTCAACAGACTTATTCTCAGAATATCTGCAATAATTGGACTCATCTGAAACAAAACAACTGCCATTTATTTCCACTACTCTTTCCTCCATGAGATTACTGTGCTTGCCAAGTTGCTCTGCATTTTCTTTCTTCACACTGGCTACGACTGTATCCTCACATGTAAAATGAGTTTCTGAGATCCCTGCAGTTGATTTCATACCTTCATCTCCTAAAAACATATTGATTTCCCAACTGCTGAACATGTTGGATTCTGAGGCTCCATAGCCCATTGTTCCTGGAAAAAATAAAATAAAATTATTAGCTATGTAGATAAAACCAATACTAGTTAAACCATATATGCATAAGGCATTCGGCACCAACCATGAAAAGAAGCAAGACCATATGGTGAAACAGCAGCACAATCATCATTCACTTCAGGTGTTGATGCAGAAGCCAGGCTGATGTTTTTCTGTTCTGCATATTCATTCGACTCAACAGCACAATGGACCATGTCATTGAAATTATTACTGAAGGACCAATGCATTGCATCAGCCTCCTCAGGTATGATGTTAGTTTCATTTGATGCCAAACAACTAATGTCACCCTTGAAGGCATCTTCCTCCACTGCATCTTCATTGCCAAGTAATTGCTCTTTCGAAAGTATTTGAGAACTTTTTACATTTTCTTCAGCGTTGGAACCATCTGTAGCATCACTTGAAACATTATCTACCATGTCATCCACAATTGTCTCTTTTGTTATATCTGTATTGTCCGGGAAAGACTTGTCCAGCGAAGTAGGAGCATTGCCTGTAAAACAATAAATCATACGACATTCAACTGAAACAAAGTAAATGTTTTTGTGGCTGTATGACAGTTAACAAGCACGCCACATTGGTCATAAGATTGCCCCTTATTCCTACTTTTAAATATATTCATTACCATTTACAAGGGATTTTGGAAAATTATAAAATTTCATGCTTTCACTTTTCAACGAGGAATATATTTTGGGCATTGATTTGGAAAGACAGACTAACAATTTGAGATAAAATAACATAAAATCAATATTTGGTATATAGCAGCATAAGATGAATTCCAACAGGCAAAGATCAACACGAGTTTGTGTTTTGACTTACCATCAAAATCTGAAACATTTAATGGCAAGCAAACTTTCTCATGTTCTGAGTAATGATTAGAGTATCCTGGAGAAACTTCCTTGTCATCAGTATCTTTGTCTCTGATATTCAAATTCCCTCCCATTATTTCGAAATCTTTATTACTGTCAAAATCGTCAAGCTTCATTCCCTCAACTTGCACCTTACTCCCAGCAACATCACTTGATCTTTCCTTTAAGTCTTCACCATGTTCGTGGCCCGCAGAGCCAAATTCATGTGAAGTAAGGAAGGCACCTTTGTCCAGATCCTGAACCATCTCTATTTTGTCACCAGTGAGATTATTGAACTTCATTCCATCAACTTGTGGCACAACGCCCTCAAATTTATTTGAGATGTCCACTAGATCCTCATCTCCTTTTCTATCTGCAAGCTTATCTGAAGCTGTAGAAGCACTTTTGTCCAGCTCTTGAACCATTTCAACATCTTCATTTCTATCAGATCCTTTGTCAGTAACCTCTTCACTGGCAGTTGACAACAATTTTTCATCTTCATTTTCTGTCAATTCAACTTCCTGAGGCTCCCCAAAATTTGTCATGTCATTCACATTGCTAAAAGATGAACTTTCCTGCATTCTTACATCATCCATTTCAGTGTCATGACTAGAAGCTTCTTCATCATTAGGATTTGTACTATTGGCTGGTGTAGCAAACATAGTTTTGAGTTCATCTTCTGCAAATTAAGAAATTCCACAATCAAATAAGATGCTGAATAGGGTAACTAAAAAAGAGGGATTATTGAACTAACCTTGTATACTTTCATTGTCATACTTCAAGGGGGTGCACTCAGAAGAAGAAATTAATTCATTGTTGACAACAAGAGATGCTGCAACAAAGTGAATAACCAACTAAGAAATTGTTTCGAACAAACAGTAAATTCTTTTAGTTGGCTTAGTAGTTGCTGATTAAAAGAACTACAGAAGAAAAACAAAAATGAAAAGTAGACAAATCAATCAAATTCTCACATTTGGGAGTATTAATTAGTGCAGGTGTATCTTTAGTCAGCACAGCCCCTTCAAATTTTTTTAAGATCTCCACTCGATCCTCATCTCCTTTTCTGTTTGCAAGATTATCTAACGCAGTAGAAGCACTTCTGTTCAGCTCTTGAGCCACTTCAACTTCTTCATTTCCATCAGATCCTTCATCAGTAACCTCTTCACTGAACGTTGGCAATGCATTTTCCTTGCATGCCATTTTTTCATCTTCATTTTCTGTCAGTCCAACAACTTCTTGAGGCTCCCCAGAATTATTCCTTTCATTCTTCACATTGCTAATAGTTGAACCCTCCTGCATTCTTACTTCATCAAATTCAATTTCACGACTACAAGCTTCTTCTTTATTAGGATTTGTATTGTTGGCTGGTGTGGCAAACAGAATTTTGAGTTCATCTTCTGTGAATCAAAAAGTAAAATTTCACAATTAAAATAAAAACAATGCTGAATACAGTGTCAAGCATAGAAAAGAGGGGTTATCGGACTGACCTTGTCTATTTTCATTGTCATCCTTCAAGGGTGTGTGCTCAGAGGAGGACATTATTTCATTGTTGACAACAAGAGATGCTGCAACAACACGAATAACCAACTAAGAAATTGCTTTGAACAAAAGTAAACAAAATTCTTTTAGTTGGCTTATAAAATCAAAAACTAAAACAAAAATGAAAAATAGGCAGGTTAATCAAATGTTCTGACATTTAGGAGTAATAATAGGTGCAAGTGTATCTCCAGCTTCCTCGCAGACATTTTTAGAGTTTTCCTTTGAACCTCTTCTTCCATTTGATTTAGCCAAAAGGCTATTAACATCCGTCTGAGCATCTTCAGCAGCAGCCCCTTTGAAAGAAATAACAAGACCAACCATTCAGTCATCATGACAGAAGACATTATATTCAATAAACACAAGCAGAAAATCTATGCAGTGTAAAAACCTCCATTAACAGTTGATTCAGTGAATTCAGATGATTTGTCTTCCATCACTAAATTTGATTTTGAAGGAGTTTGACACAGTTCATGATCAAAAGCTTCTTCTTCATTAGAAAATGTATTATTGTCTGGTGTAGCAAACAGAGCTTTGAGTCCATCTTCTGCACATCATTTAAGTAAAAAATTTCAGACTTAAAAGAACATGCCGAATAGCATAAAAAAAAAAAAGAAAAAAAAAATAGGGACTATTGGATTAACCTTGTCCACTTTCATTGACATCCTTCAAGGAAGTATGCTCAGAGGAAGACATTATTTCATTGTTAACAACAAGAGATGCTGCAAGAAAGTGAATAATCAACTAAGAAATTGTTTCAAACAAAAGGAAGACTCTTTTAGTTGGCTTAGTGGTTGCTGATTAAAAGAACTACAGATGAAAAACAAAAACCAAAAACAAAAATGTAAAGTAGACAAATCAATCAAATTCTCACATTTGGGAGTGTTGATAGGTGCATGTGTATCTTCAGTTGGATCAGTATCCCTCTCCACTGAGATGATCAGACTCATTTTTCCATCAGTAAATTTACGTGTGATTTTCTCCTCAATTTCCTCAGAATTATGAAGAGAATTTGTCTCTGAGCCTGTATTTTCTTTCTTCTCAGTAAGTTGACCATTTAACTCACTTAAGATAGGAAGGAAACTGCATTTCCGTAATGAATTTCCCTCTAAGCTCGCATGATCAGTCTCTTCATCAACACGATGCAACGCTCTTTCCACAGATAATATCCCTTCGGACTTATTTTTCATTTCTGGCAATGCTTCATCAATTCTCTCTTGACAGCAAATTTTATCACCTGCAGTGCTTGCAAAAGTATCAGCAGCGCTCAGTATGCCATAATGGAATTCAGTGTCGTAATTTGAATTCTCTTTCAGTTCGACATGATTTGTATTTCCTGCAAAAACGATGGATTGCACATTTTACTTTGGATGGACTCCTTTAATTGCATTAAATTAAAGGAAAAAGAAATTCAGTGCATCACACATATCTGTAAGATGAGCTGAGAAACTAATTTTGTTTACATGCATCATTGACAATTGATAGAGGAAACTGATATAGAGATAAGATGGTCAAAGAAATTGCACACTCATATCAACTACACATCAAACATTTAAGATAGTTATACAAAAGGGAAGACAAGACAAGTATCCCTCACCTTGATACTCTGAGGCAACAAGAGGTGTGAGCTGTGTCCCCATAGAGCAGTAGCCACTTGTGAGTTGGAAGTTGGTAGCCTTTTCTGAAACTACTTCAGCAGTTACCACATTGGAAACTAAAACCTTTTCGTGCAATTTACCACTCTCCACAGAAGATTCAGCTTTGTTATTGTTTTTCTCTACCATGTTTGGAGTGATTCTTTCTCCATGAGAAGGATCATCAAGCACACTAATATCCGCAGCTTTCTTGGAGTCATTTTCACAATCCTCCCCGGCGCCTTCACTTTCATCAGGTTCAGTTGAATGTCCCTCACAAACTCTCTCGTATGTACTTGGCTCAGCAAACCCGCAAACCTCTTGAAATTCTGTGAAGTTTCTATTGCCAGCCACCAGTACAATGTTTTCCTTCTCCGTAGCAGCTAAGGATTCACCGTCAGGGATTTCTCTTTCTGGCTCTGCAGAATCACTCTGCAACTTCAAAGAATTGGAAGCTGGGGTCCCTTCTAAATTTTCCATTATGAGACCTCTGATCTCATTTAAGTATGGACTTTTGGTGTGAAGCCCCATTGAATGGTGTTGCATCTTCAAACTAGAATCCTCACTGGACCCCTTTCGTTCTATATTAGTATATTCAGAAACTTTCTTGCTGCTGCTCGAAGCTGGGTTGCTGGCACCTTGAGAAACTTCTGGCTCTGTCATTACTGAATCTGTAACTGGTGGACCTTTGAATGCTGAAATGTGCTTGGTTAACAAGCTTTCTGCTTCTATGTTTAGCATCCTTGGACAACAATTGGCATATTCCTGTCCCTCAGCATCCACTGCAGATTTCTCATCTTCATCTATTTCTCTGTCTTTTTCATTACTATAGATGACTCTTTCGCTATCAGAATGATCAACAACACTTTCGCCAGCTTCCTCACAGACAGTTTCAGAGTTTTCCTTTGAAACTCTACTTTCAATAGATTCATCTAAAAGCCCCTCAGCATCCAAGTCAGTCTTAATTGATTCACCAAAACTGTTAACATTTTCAAATTCTACCGACTTCTGCTCTTTAGGAGCATAAGCTTTGTCATCATCAACTCCATGTTGGTCCACAACACAACATGAGTCTATGTATTTTCCTGTTCCAGGCTTTTCATCTCTCTCCATTTCCTTCCCCAGATCCAAGTTATCAGCAGGTTTGGCTGCAATGCAAATCAAATACATAGTTAGGAAAAATAAAGAATAAAAGAACTTTTTGAGCCAAAAGGAAAATAAACACCCTTACCAACACAATGTATCCAGTCATCTCCAAATGTGGCTTGAGGGAAACCCACATCGGTAAATACATTAAAACCTTCTGCAGTCTTGGGCTCAACCAAATCATTCGTATCAAAATCTCTACTTCTTTTGCAGCTGTGAGATGCCGAATCATGTTCATTGACTGTACTAATATTATCTTGAAGGGGCTTCTCTTTATCAACTCCCACTGCATTGTAAACCTTTTCTACAACTTCAGAACCACTGACAGAAAACAAAACTTCATTTTCCCCATGATCATTCTGCAATTTCCCAGGCTCAGAAGCTGGAATCTCCACTGAATTCACCATTTTGAGTGCTGTAGCTTCTTCAAAATCAGAAGTTTCAGCAGAAACCTCCTTTGCTAGAGATGTCCCACTGAATTTTTTCCTCTTCTTTCCAGTATTATCATTCAAAACTGGATCAATTGCACTTTCTGCGATACCAGGCATGGAAAGTTGTGCATCTAAAATTGGTGGTTCTTTGACAGCAGAAGTGCCCTTAGCTAATGATTCCAATTCTAAATTAGGTAGCTTTGATCTACTTAGCTGCTTCTTTCTCCCAACAGTTTTATCAGTTCCAACTGTTAATGCAACCGTGTCAGTTTTAGCTGCATTACATGCAGACCATCTAGGGGGTTCTTCAACAAAAGCACTCTCATTCACAACACTCTCTTCTTCTAGAATTGGGTCTCTTCTGCTCTTTCGTGGCTTGATCTTTCCGTTGTTATTAGCAGTTCTATCCATTTCATCAGAAATTGCAACTATTTCATGTCTAGAACTCCTCCTTGGCCTCCCATCATTTTCTTCCAGATTTTTACTACTTGAACCACCTTCCATGACTGAAGGCCTTAATAGTTTTCTGTTCTTATTTTCTAGCTTAGCTCCATCAGTTTCTGCTTTCTCAACTTGAGGCATGACAGACTGCCTCCTGTTGCCATTTCTAACTGGACGCCTTGAAGGTTCTTCAAGTTGTAGAACCACTTCAAGTTTTCCATGAACCTCAACTTCAGTTTCAGTTCTTGTACCACTCTCTGCTGTAGACGCATTCTCTGCCAACTGAGTCCTGCACCGAGTATTCCTTCTCCTTCCAACCATTTCATTTTTACCCAAATCCTGATTAAGCAGTGCATAATCTTCAGCCTTTTCCACATTTCTCTTTGACCACCTTAAGGCCTTCTCGGGTTGAGTAATTCCCCCATCAGCTGCTAGGGCATTGTTCTCAGAAATTTCATCAGTGGTTTTCACATTCCTCTTCTTTGAGTTTCTTTGTGTTTGATTCTTCCTCGAAATTGCAACAACTTCATCAACTCCTTTACTCTTCTTGCTCACTACCTCTCTATTCCTCAAAGACCTACTTGTTGGCACTCTGTTTTCTTCCACAGCAGTACTGTCAGAAGCTAAATTATCAGATGAGTCCACAACTGCAGGCGGTTTATCACCACTAACACCATCTTTCTCCTCCATACAACCAGATTTCACAGCCCTTTTCGTTCTCTTCGTCTCAACTATAGGCAACACAACTTCAATTACACCTCCATCCGGCAACTTTTGTGCCCTAGATCTAGTTGTTCTGACCGGGTTCTCCACAGTTTCCCCATAGGGCTTGACATCTTTGTCAATTTCTTTACTCTTCTTGCTCTGCACCTCTCTATTCCTCAAAGATTTTCTTGATGCCACTCTGTTTTCTTCTAATTTATCAGACAAGTCGACAACTGGAGGCAGGTTATCACCACTAACACTCTCTTTCACCTCCAAACTATCAGATTTCACGACCCTTTTCGTTCTCTTCGCCTCAACTATGGGCAACACAACTTCAATTGCACCTCCATTTGAGAACTTTTGTGTCCTAGACCTAGTTGTTCTAATTGGGTTCTCCACAATTTCCTTGTTTTCAATAACAAAGCTCTGCTTCTTCAACTCGGGCCTCATTATCGACTTCCTCCTTGCCCCCCTCTTCATCTCTGCGGGCTCAGCCTCCAATTCAACAAACTCAAACATCTCATTCTCGGGACTAAACCTAACCTTCTTCAATTGCCTAGCTACAGCATCAGAATCATTTTCACTTGCTAAATCACCCACTTTCTTCAAGCAAGACCGTCCTCGCCTTATAGGTTTTTCTTTTCCCTGAATTTATCACAAAATTATACATCGAAAATATGAACCCAACAAAACAAAACAAAAAAAGAAAACAAAAAAAAGGAGATCTATTTATGATTAATGGGTGCACCTGAAGAAGAGAAGTAAGATCGTTAGCCATCTCTAAATTGGTTAAATTTGCAGGAATATTGTGCTTCTTGCATAGTGATTGAAGTTCTTTCCGTTTCATGCTATGAAAATCCATCTCTGAAACTCTCAAAATTACAAAACGAAAACGAATCAAACACGAAGATAGCAGCAAAACAGGGAAAATGAAAAGTGAAAAACAAAAAGATGATTGAAATCTTGTATGGAGAGAGATCTAATACCTGAGACGGAGATTGGGTTCAGTCACATTACCAAATCGAAGATGTGAAAATTTTAGCGAGAGAGAGTTCTTTTACTTTTGGTTTTTTTTTTTTTTTGGATTCGATCTTTCTTGTTTTTGTTTTTTATACCGTTGGCGGAAGTTTTGAATTTGAATGAAACTGAGTTTTCCCGCTTCTTAACGGATCGGGAAGGAGTCACGCACTCGATCGCGTACAGAAAAATCTATACTCGCGCTACATAGACGACGTGTGGGATGTGACTCTGATAAATTAACAGATGTCATGCAGGTGTAATTGGGCATTATTTGACATTCTCTATAAAAAAAAATATATATATATATATATATATTTTTTTTTTTTCCTTTTGGTTATTTTATTTTTTTTATTTGTACATTTTTTTTTATAAAAAATTAAAAAATATATTTATTTAAATTATTCTAAATACTCTCTTAGTTGTCAAAATACTGTGGTTGTGTTTGGGAAGAATTTTAATTGGGATTTTTCTCATTTTTTTCATTAAAAGACAAAAATTTTGCAAAATAAAAAAAAAACATCCAAACAAAATATCACATCAAACCCCATAATCATTTCACTTTTTCTCTCACAAATATCACATTCAACCACAAAAAAATTTAATTATCTTCTTAAACACAAAAAAAAATTTCTTCAATAATATCCTATATCTAAAAAAATATACATAAAAACTCACATCTCAAACACCATCTGTGCGAGTGCGCCTAAAATTTCGTGATGGTTAAGAGCTTTTGACCAGGGTTTTGCATAATTATACGGACTTTTCTTAAGCGTGCAACTTACGCCTTCCATTTATGTCTTTTCTGTTGCTATCCTGTTTAATGTTTATATCTTCCATTTACGTTTTTTGTGTTAGTGGCATATGCATAAGAGGACCCTAATCATACATATCATTTGTACGCAAGGTACCTAGGAACATTTTTTATTGTGTTTTTTTTTTTTTTTTTTTTTTTTTTTTTTTTTTTTGTAAGTATCTCACTCTTTAAAAAGTAACTAATAAAAAATATCTCAAAAACCAATTTACCTGGAAAACACCTGCTAACACTAGTATATGTGTAGAAAATACTGGAATACACTCCAAATCATGAGTGATTATTTTATAGTTTTGGAACATTACTCTACATTATTCATCATTTAATATTTACAAGTTATTTTTGAAAAATTTAACAAAAAAGTATTAAATCTTATTATTTTAATAAATAAGTTATCAAGTAAAAATAGCACATGAATTTGACCCAGATGCAAGAATAATTTTTTCTTAAATCATATAAATAATTGTGTAAGACCAATGATTTACCTTTACCATGTATAAAAGTTAAGGAATCTTAATGAAACACTTTCGTTTGTCTAATAGACTTTAGGTGTCCTATTTTCCATTCTTTTTCTTGTGTGATATGAACTCTGATTATGTATAAATTATGGATTTGAAGAAAAGATTTATGGAAGAAAAATGAAAAACTTGGAAAAAAATAAATCAAATACTTACGTTATAGCACCATCACAAGACCACTGTATTTTTATTTTTATTATTATCACACAAAGACAAATTTTTATTGATGAAGATTAGCATTTAAACAAATAGAACATCAATAAAGTGACAAAAGGCAAGTGCAAGACTGCATCATAGTAAGATCACACGATTCCAATTAGATTGACACTAAAATATAAGCCTAATCATGTGCAAGGACATCACCACAAGATGGTGAGAAACCAACCCAAAAAACAGCCAAATAAATCCAATCAATAGGACTTATTAGCAATTATCGCATATATTAAGGCCCTATCTAACTTCAACATTTTTCACCCTGAAAATAAGGCCATGCTGGTTCACATGGAAAAACAGACCCAATATGACCCACATTTTTTGAAAATCTACAGGTTGTGGTTAAGATTCTATATAATTCTTACATTTGCTTTGGATAAATTATACTCACCTTTCTTGAGATTTGAAGAAAATACATTTAATTTTATACTTTTGATATAATTACACTGACCTTCTTTAATTTACATAACACTTTTACTGATACAACTCTCTGCTGAGATCAAAAAAAAGAAAGTTCAAAAGTTTGAAAAAAGTTACGCCAAACCAAACAGACCCCCTCTCTTTAGCTTGCTTTCTTCGATTCAAGTCATGTTGAATAATTTCTAACTTTGGAAGAAATTGTTGATTTTTTCATTTAATTTTAAAAATTAAAATCAATAGATGATGACAGTTTCAAAAATATTTTATAATAACAGTAAATTAGCCATATTATCAATTGAAAAAAAAAAATGTTATCAAAATTTGAATATGAGAATTCAATTAGTAAATTTTCATCTCAAAATCACAGAAAAATAAATTATAAAAAAATATTGAAAAATAAAAACATCGTAATCAAATTTATCGATTTTGATCTCAAATTACCTCAAAAGGCTTTCAAATAGACTGGATGGCTAAGGGCATTAGTTGCCTGCATAGCACAACACCACTTTGGAAGAAACAGAGTAAGCAAGTTCGAAATACTGAATAAGAGTGAAGCTAATGTGGAATTTAGAGCTTATAAATGTATAAATTATAGGAGCAACTCAAATGTCAAATAAATTTAAGATAAATAAGTAGAAAACTTTTAGTGAAACTATTCATTTAAAAAGCTGGCAAAAATCCAATGAAAACAACCCACAACATGAAGATTTAAGATGCTTTTAAATTAGTCTTTAAAAAGTTTTGTAAAATGCTAATTAGTATAAAAGAGCAGAAAAATAGACAAGAAAAGGGGGTTGAAATTGAACAATCTAAGAAGAAAATGGAAAATAAGAACAACATATAATCCAAGGATAGAAGGCAAATACTCAACAGGTTGAGCAGTTGATATCAGTTGTCCCAATGTGATCATGTGGAATTCATTTTGCAAATGTGACCTTCGATCATCTGATAGTTTCATGGCAACTTGTCTCATGGTTGGCCGAGATGGTTTATTGGCATGCAAACATGCAAATGCTAGTTTTGCAACCACAACTATTTGCTCTGCCACTTGATTCTCAGGAGCTAGGAGGCGTTGATCCAACACATCCTTCAATAATATCCCATGCACAATTGATGTGGATGAGGAGGAGGATGACGACGATGACAGAGAGGAGACTAGATCGCTTGGATGCTTCCCCATAATCACTTCCAATGTGAGAACCCCAAAACTATAAACATTGCACCTCTCATTCACTTCCATTGTATGAGCAAGTTCTACCAAATGAAACAAGTGACCAAGAGAAGAAAATAGTAATCAAAAAAAAAAAAAAAAAAAAAAAAAAAAAACAAAACAAAACAAAACAAAGCTGGAAAAAGAAAAAAGAAAAACAAGAAACATGCACATGCTCATGCTCCATATCAAAATGACAATTAGAAGTTCAACGGCCCTTTCAATTTGAGTGAAATAACATCCAAGATTAGAAACCTCTTAAAATGCAATGGTTGATAAAATAAAATGAACATTACATACCCGGAGCAGTGTACCCAAAGGTCCCTGCAAAAGATGTCCAATTGGACGAGTCAGGCTTCATAAATCGAGCTGTGCCAAAATCAGATATGTGAGCCGCATACCATAAATCAAGTAAAACATTCTTGCTTGATATGTCTTGATGGATGATTGCTGGTTATAGCGATCCCGGTTGCCCCTCTACTGTTCTGTTGTATTCCGGACTCGGTTCCATGAAGTTGGTAGTTGCATCTATCTTGTTGTCGTCCTTTAATTCCACTTGATTGAGTTTTAGGATGTTTTGGGCAGGGTTGTTACAGGTTGGTTAGGCCTTGGTTTCAATTCCTTGTTGCCCAGTTTTTAGGCGGTCCGCTCGAGCGGGTCTTCTTGCGCTCGAGCGGGGATTGCACACTCCCAGTTTTTCGTGTTCCTGCAAAACTTGCAGGTATGATTTACGCTCGAGCAGGGTTTGTTTTACGCTCGAGCGGTAGCACTTTCTGGGTATAAGTTCTGGGAGGGGGAAATCTACGCTCGAGCGGACTGATTTACGTGCTCGAGCGGATGTGCTTTATTCTTGTGTCTTGGCGCTCGAGCGGGCCTTCTTGCGCTCGAGCGTACCTAGTTTTTTTTTGTTCTTAACGCTCGAGCGTTGTGTTCTCCGCTCGAGCGGGAATGTCGTATAACAGAGGATAGCTGGGCATTTTTGAATCACTTTCTACACTTTCTCTCTCTCTCTTGCATTCTAAAAAGATATTTTGAGAGCCTCTCTCTCTAGAAATTCCCTTCTCTCTAGGGTTTGATCTAGTTAGAGTGTTTCCTTTTCCTTTGGCCTTTACAAAAAGGTTGTTGATCGTCGAGGGCTATCTTTTGATCTGAGAAACTTGTGATTTGGAGCAATTTCGTTTTCGTCATCTTCTCCTTCGAGTGTCATCTTTTGAGGTAGGGGTTCCTACTCACTCTTATGGTCTTTGACCTAGAATTTTAGCTGTTTTGATAAAGTGTTGTAGTTGGGTGGTTTTGGGACTTAGGGTTTCAAAATGTGTTAAAGAGGGTTTTGTGATTTTGGTCTCAAAATGTGAATTTTGGGTTTCAAAATAATGATGTTGTTGTTGGTTGTTGATATATAGGCCATTGGGTCAATATTGGGAAATGGGTTAGAAAACCCTAATTGGTTATATAAATTAATTTGTATGATTAATTTGAGAAAATGATGGTTATATGGAATTGAGTTGGGAATAATGAAATTGACTCATTATATGGTCGAATAGTGGAGTTGGATTTATTAATCGCTCACTTTTGAAAACATTGATATTTTATCTGTTGGAGCTTTTATTATCTGTTTAGAAATAATTGCTTGGGCTACCGGTGGAGGGTAGTTTTGATTGTTGTAGACAATGCATGATGATTAGGTAAACTAAAACTAATCAATTGGATATGTCATAGAGTATGACGGTTGATAGAATACATTAATGTTATGTATTGATTGATTACGTATATGACCTTTGTGTATATATGTTGTGTGTGTGGGAGGAGATAGGGGATGTACTCCACGGTTTAGTGGAAGATAGAGGATGGACCTCGAAACCGGATATTGTTTGGGAGGAGATAGGGGATGGACTCCACTGATACAGCTCATATGCTTGTCAGATAATGTGTTGATATAGCTCATATGCTTATCTTTGGAAGTGTTGATACAGCTCATATGCTTTTCATTGGAAGTGTTGATATAGCTAATATGCATATCTGTTGAAATGTGGATACAGCTTGTATGCTTATCTGTTGAGATGTTGATACAACTAATATGTTTATCTACTGTAAAATGAGAAACGTTTAATATGAGTCATTGTCTCATAATTGGTTGGCCAGGTTCTGAGCCATTGATGTAAATTGTGAAAGTTGACAAGAAATGAAAACTGAAATGAAACATGAACATAGTGGTCATGAAATGGAAATGGATTATGGGTTGGTTTATGAAAATTGAACATTTATCAATTGCTAATGTCTTAGTCATTGCTCATACTGTGTTTAGCATATTTCTACTGGGCGTTGGCTCACCCTATATGGGACATTATTTTCAGGTACAGGTAGTATGCCACCTCCAAGGACATAGCTTGGATGATGATGAGAGTTGAAGACTCTTTTTTTTGTTTATTTTGATGTATTACATGTAAATTCAAGCCAAGGGCTTAATTTGTATTGAGTTAGTACTCTTCTTTTGTGACCAAGTGTTAACTTGGAAAGCTGTAAGCTCATAGGGCATTTGCTTTTACTATTAACATGTAATACCGTTGTAAGAATTACTCTGATGAATAGAAATGGTTGAATTCTTTGTATCAATGCATGTCTAAAATGTTAGGTATTATGTATTATTATGAGGGCGTTACAACTTGGTATCAGAGCGTACCGGGTTCGAATACTTTGGGTACGTGGGAAGTGATTAGGATCACAATGGGTTCGTCTCGCTCGATAGAGACTTAGATGTAGTGTCATGTGCTATGTGTTTAATTGATAACATGCTTATGTGACTATATGGGTATGGGATTTAGTTTCTAGGATGTTGATTGGATCCTTGGGTTTCTGTGAGTCTTGTCGGAAAGGCACTTGATCAATGCTGTTTCTAACCGGAACTCTAGTAACGCCTCGGGACTATCATTATCCGGAAATGAAATTCGTAAGTGCTTATGTGTTTATGTGCTTACGTGGAGTGAATTACAGTTGTCCATGCATTAGGACGTGAGTGTTATAGCTTCGGCACATTTGTGAATGTGCTAATAGTCTTGGTTACCTTTATTAGGATGTTAGGACGAGGGCGTGGTAGGCGTGGCAGACGTGGTAGGCAGGAGATGCCTTTACCGGATGATGTTCCGGCAATGCAGGAGGGAGTTGGCCAGGCCAACGTGGTCGAGCCAGCGGGTCAGCAGGCTGTGGGCTTCTTGGCCCGAGAGATAGCGGGGGCTTTGGGTATTCTCAGAGCTGAGAATCAGGTTGCTGAGGCAGGGCCTTTTTTCTTGAAGAGGGAATTCTTCCGGTCTAACCCGGACGAGTTTGTTGGGGATCCGAAAGAGCCACTTAAGGCTGACGAGTGGTTAGAACAAATGGAGAAGACGTTCGAGATGCTTGGCATCGAGGACGGGGCTTTAAAGGTGACCTTGGCATCCTTCCAATTGAAGGGAGATGCAGGTCAATGGTGGAAGTACGAGAAGGGCAATGTTGGTGGTGCATGTGAGGCGTTTGTAAATACCTTCTAGGAGAAGTTTTTATCTTCAGCTGCGAGGGAGAAGCTGAGGGAGCAGTTTTGCCAGCTTAGATAGCAAGGCTTGTCAGTGGCCGAGTTCGAGGCTACTTTTACTGGTCTGTCCAGGTTTGCACCTGAACTGGTGGCGTCCGAGGAACGCCGTTGCTTTGAGTTTGAGCGGAAGTTGAAGCGAGGCCTCAAGTTGAGGGTTGGTGGATCTTTCATCCGAGAGTATAGGCGTTTGGTGGATGCTGCTGCTCATATGGAGATTATGATGCAGGAGGAAGACGAGGAGAAAAGAGGCTCCAAGAGGAGCCAAGATGGTCAGGGTGATGGCAGGAGACAGAGGGGCTCTAACCTTCAGCAGTCTCAGGGTGGTGTGGCTAGATCGACCTTTCCAGTGCCGAGTGCGGGTTCTGGGAGAGGTAGTCAGGGAGGTTTGACCTGTTTTGCATGTGGCCAGCTGGGTCACAAGTCTTCGGTTTGCCCGCAGAAGGGAGGGGGTCAGCGAGCTGCTTCTTCTTCAGCTAGACCTCAGGGCCAGAGTCAGGGCAGGGGCCAGCTTTTGTCTTGCTATCAGTGTGGTCAGCTTGGGCACCTGAAGAGGTATTGCCCACTGTTGAGTGCTACTTCAGGAGCGTTTGGTTCTAGGCAGACGCAAAGTTATCAGCCAGCTCAATCTGTGCAGGCCTCGAGGGCCAATCCGGGAGCTTCGTCACCCCAGTCAGTGCAACAGTTTTTTGCTCCTAGAGGTGAGCAGGTGAATCAGGGGCCTACAGGGCGCGTGTATGCTGTTACCACGCAGGATCTAGTACCGGCTCCATCAGTAGTGAGAGGTACCTTTCTGTTTTGCAACTCGGTTGCTAGTGTATTGATTAATACGGGTGCATCTCATTCTTTTGTCTCTGCTGCATTTGCATCTATTTTGGAATTGGAGTTGGCACAGTTAGCATCTCCTATATGTGTAATATCACCTGTTGGTGGTGAGTTGATCTTGAAACAAGGTGTTAGGGGTTGTGATATAGAGGTCGCCGACCATAGGCTTCCTTTTCCTTTTGTTGTCATGCCCATGAAGGATTTTGACGTTATTCTGGGTATGGACTGGCTATCGTCATACCGGGCTATTATTGATTGCTACCACCAGAGGGTCACAGTTTGTACCTTGAGCGGGGAGTGTTTTCATTTCTTGGGGGATCGGGTTGGTAGTGTGTTGCCACCGATGTATGATCCGCGATGGCGGAATGAGTTTAGTGGTCTACTTGCTAGCTTTATGAGTGGTGAGTGTGATGAGACCCAGATTGTTTTGCCGAGGGTGGTTTGTGAGTATTCGGATGTTTTTCCCGAGGATCTCGTTAGTTTGCCACCTCACCGAGAGATAGAGTTCCCTATTGATTTAGTGCCCGACACAGTGCCGATTTCTATGGCACCTTACCGTTTTGCCCCAGCCGAGTTAAGTGAGTTGAAGATTCAGCTC